GCCGGATATTTGCGCTGCACCAACAGGACGACCAATCAACACAACAGAATTCACCGGTGAAATGTTGCCCATGGAAACGTCCCCTTTGCCAATCCCACGCGAAAACTCACCGTCAGTTCATCAAACTGGGGCTTGAGGATGGTGTTGAAGGTCTGGCTGTGAACCTGAAGGCCGAGTTCACGGAATTTTTCCTTGATGTAGCGTCGTGCCTCCAACCGCGGTTCATCGGTCGCCGCCATGGGGTTCCGCACGCCGTCCAGGTGCTCCAGATGCGCCTGCAGCTGCGTCTTCTGCGCCAGGGAATGGGCTGCGAAGCCTGAAAGTTGCAGTTAGAAATTAGAGAACAGTGTATGCGTGTCACATATATATGTAAATACCCCTTCCGCCCACACACACACACGGATGTGTATGTTTATTTATCTATCTGTCAATCTATCTATCTATCTGTCCGTCTATCTATCTATCTATCCATCTATCTATCTATCGATCTGTCCATCTTTCCGTAATTATCTCTTTATATACAGCATACATATATGCCCACTGTATCATAAAAATAGAATGACGAATAGAATGACTAAGTGTGCCAGAGAGTTTTCATGTTTGAGAGTGCCAACGTGAACAGTGCCATGAGTCGCCGGCTGTCTGACGTCACCGGGCAGAGCCACCTGCTGGACGCCGCAATGGCAATGAAAATGGCGAAGAGTGAGCGCTGGCAGGATCAACAACAATGGCCCGCATTTCCCGAAAGCCTCGATTGTTGTTCTGTTTCCGTGTCACGATAACGTCATTCGCAGGAAGCCATGACGTCACGAGCTTGGAAATACAATATCAGGGTCGAGCGCGTCCATCTGCTTTATAACCTTGGGCCTGTGTGTTATTTTAATGTGTTTTGGTTCTTAATGAGGTGACAGAGTGCCTTGCACTTGTTTATTGCAGGCGTAGAGGCGGACAAATCTGATAATCCAAAAGCTCTTTTGACTCAAACTGAACTATAAAACCACCGTAAAAGAAAGTAAATAAATTAATAAAGAAAGAAAATATATAAATATGTATATATGGAAATATATTAAAATATATAAAAAATATATAAATATACATAAAATATATATATATATAAAGAAAGAAAGAAAGAGTCTAAAACATCCATCGTTTGTGAATGAGAGTATTAAAAAAAACAATCTATCCCAGAGTAAGAAAAATAACGACCCAAGAGTTAGTGTGTACAATCCGAGGAGAGTGTAGGTGCTTTATGTGTGGCGAGGATGGCGTATAAACAACACACACACACACACACACACACACATACTCGGGGTCGGCATTTACACCAGGCTAGGATGTTCAACAGGAAGATGTCATCATGCTGGTAAATACCGAAGGGCGGAGTCCCAACGTAAACACAAGGTCCCGGATTCGCTCTCTCGTTCATTACCTGACGATCTACGATGAAATAATTTCATTTGTTTTCCGGGTGCTGATGTCGCCTCGGCAGTACGAAAGATTTACAAAACGATTGAACAATATGACCGCAAGAAAACGAACTTTCATGCATTGTTCTCTGTTACGTAATTCCATATTCATCTTGTACGTCACTCTAGCTGCAGAAATAACCGTCATATTTACTATTTCTCCGAATATTCACGGAAACACTTGTGAGTCCTTAATGTTATCACAGCTGCAGACTCATACCAGTGAAAGGGAAAATAGGATAGGGGGAAAGGGTTATAGGCAACAGGAAGGCATTACGCTGATATAACGAAGATATTAAGGCAAAAAATCACAGTAGGAATGGCGATATTATATTTCGTCTATAACGATTTTTTTTTTCTAGAAATATACTTAAGCAAGAACGTGTGCAAAAAGATCAGATCAATATTCATCCTGAGAAAATAGGTATATCATTAACGTGTTGAATTTACAAATAGATTAACGGCTGAAAATACTATCCCGTCTCAGCCACCACGACGGTAACTTCTTGGATCTTAGGTTATTCCTTGTTACTTTGTTAATGTTGAGGAAAAAACACTCCCACTAGGTGACGACATACAAGGTAAACAATTTTCTCAAACTCTCTCGCCGTCCCTCTTCTCTCCAACACCCAAAACCACACTGAATTCTTTTTACATGTATTTTCCCTATGCGTTGGTATAGTGAGAAAAAAGCAAAAGTAAACACATGAAAGTGGTTAAAGTTGATAAAGTCGGCACGGGGAATAGAAGGAGAAATTTCGAAATGAATAGAAAGGAGTTTGTTTTTTTTCGAAAGAGAGGCTATGGGCTTGGCAAAGAATATGATACGAGAGATGCGAGGAATGAGGTAAGTGTGGAGCTCTTTGAGGGTAGAAAAAAAAACGTAATTAATGGACAATGAATCTTCTATGACGGCCATAAACCTCACAATAATTCATTAGCAAGAGGCCGATTGCAAAACAACGTGCATCTAGAAATGAGAGAAGTACGGCTGCAAATTATGATGATTAAAATATTGTTCTTATATGTATAAA